GCAGACCCGCACGGGTATGCACAAGTTGGTCCGCCGTGTCATGGCAGCCCAACTGCTAGGAAAACTCAACACTCCCCCCGCGGAAGCAGCAGGTGGGAGCTTTGGGCTCCCGCTGTAACAGCGGGTACCGAGTATCCAGGTAGAGCAAGCAAGCAAGCTGTAATTTAGAGGTGCGGAGTCCCGCCGGTACCATGCCACACTGCACCAGTTTATTTACAACAGTGAAAAGTTACAAAGAAACCGACCTGACAAGATCTTACCGCGCAAAGTCTTACTGGGTGGATACCGCCTGATTGGGTGAGGGGCACCGACTGCAAGCAAAGCAACTTAAGAAACAAATGAAAGCAACATAGTGATATAGATTTTCCATCGCATATGCACTCTTTCAACCATATTGCGATCAAACAAGTGAAAACGGGTAAGATAATATTATTAATGATAACAAAATCATTGTGGAAGCGTTGTGAAAGGGATGGGGACGGGAGGGTGGGAAACGGACTTTTTATGCAGCAGGTAGCGTGAGCATGTGAAGTGCTATTAAAAAGCGTGACGTAATGCCGGCGGATATTACGTGTCTCTAAGCTTAGCTGCACGTGAGGCAGGTTGGTGACGTAAGCGGAAGTGAATCCAAGCGCGGGAATAAGATGGTGGACGAAATCAAAACAATGGAGAGGTTAGAAATTGGAACGAAACGGTAACGCAGCCCATAACACCATTTAGCTAAATATTGCTAAATGTCATTATGAGCTGACTGTTAGGGAAACCTGAGAGCCTCAAAACGATAAATGAAGACAGAAAGCCAGTATGGAATTCAAATGGGCGCAGTGATGATGGCGAGGACGGGAAACCGCACCGAAGCATGGAAAGCCCACACGGGCTAGCGAAGCATTTGCAGACCCGCACGGGTGTGCACAAGTTGGTCCGCCGTGTCATGGCAGCCCAACTGCTGGGAAAACTCAACACTCCCCCCGCGGAAGCAGCAGGTGGGAGCTTTGGGCTCCCGCTGTAACAGCGGGTACCGAGTATCCAGGTAGAGCAAGCAAGCAAGCTGTAATTTAGAGGTGCGGAGTCCCGCCGGTACCATGCCAAACAGCCCCGCGCCACGGATGGGTGAGGGCTGCAGAGGCGCGTGGCTGCCATCAACACTGCATAATGTGTGTGTGTGCAGGGGTGGGGGTGGTGTGTGTGCAGGGGGTCGGTGGGTGCGGTGGGGAAGGAGAGAGTGGTGTTGGGAAGAGACAAAGGAAGGGAGACGAAGCGCATTACCAACAATTGCTAATGACATTTCAGAATGAAACAGGTTCTACGCCACACTCAGACAGATTCCAGCTATTTGGCGGCTATCAGCAAATAATGAGTGGGTTTAGTCTTACGCCACACTCAGCGATATTCCAGCTATCTGGTGGCGGCCTGTAATTAATCGAGTCTGGGCCAGACAATCCCATGATCCGAAGCATGCGCATCCGTCTGGGTACCCAATGGCATAGCTCAACCAAGTCAGCGAGCCTGACCCACTGATCCCGTTAGTCGCCACTTACGACAAGCACGGGTTACTAACGATCTACACGCATGGCCTACGATGACGTGTGTCAGGCAAATGAGTGAGTGTAACCACCCGAACCTAGTAGTCGCCTCTAACAACAAGCATGGGTTACTGCATACAAACCGAACCTGGTTCTTAATTAGAAATAATTTCGTTAGCGCCTCGCTCAGCAATATTGCAGCTAACCTGAGGTGGTCCGTGAGAAGAAGTACGGACCAGCTCCGCTATAGTCATGCAACCTGTTATCGCTGATAATGGCAAGCACAGGCTAATACTGAAACTGGCCTGCGTCACGTAGGTGAGCTGAAATGATGTGACACAGAAATTACCATTTTTTGGTTAATGCCTGCACCGCGTGACGGGACTCGTACACCGCAGGGAATTTAGGCGATAATCCATGGACAATTACGACATTAAGGCCTGATTTCGGGTAACCACCTGCACCTAATAGTAGCCTCTAACAACGAGCATGGGTTACAGCATACAAGCCGAACCTGGGTCTTAATTAGAAATAATTTCGTTAGCGCCTCGCTCAGCAATATTGCAGCTAACCTGAGGTGGTCCGTGCGAAGAAGTACGGACCAGTGCCGCTATAATCGAGCTACCTGTTATCGCTGATGATGGCAAGCACAGGCTAATGCAGGCTACTACTGAAACTGTCCTGCGTCACGTAGATGAGCTGAAATGAGGTGTCACAGAGATGACCATTTTTTGGTTAATGCCTGCACCGCGTGACGGGACTCGAATGTTGCGGGGAATTTAGGCGATAATCCATGAACAATTATGACATTACGGCCTGATTCAGGGAGTGAAAGAAAACTCGCATGCCCTGTCCATTCAGATGAACCTTGTCCCTGGCACTGATGTGGGTGTCAGTGATGTCCGGGTGCCGAGCCACTTTCCCACCCAGTTCCCGCACGACATTGGCCTGTTGAGTTTGCGCCGCTTAATGTCGATGGCCCGCGGGTTCTGGGCCCCCCTCCATGCTAGCCTGGGCAGCATACATGACCATATGATGGTAGCTTTTGGACACCTCAGATGAAGGTAAAGCAAGTCAAGGTATATAGCATCAAAAAGCGGCTTAGATGCGGTAGCGCAGAGGTCATATGAACCCAAGTGGATGACCACGATTTTTGGCTGCGCCTCCAGTTCGATAAGCCTATCGATATAGGTCCTGAACTGGGCCCATCTCATCCCCCCTTTTACCAGCCACTTCCCGCTGATTGGAAATTGCTGACCTGTCTCTGTATGGTGAAGCAGCCGGGCCAAGTAGCTAGACCCGATGAACCAGGCTGCATCTGAAACTCGTGGAGATAGTTGTGGGATTTTGAATAACATTTGGCCCTAACATATTTAAAGATCATAGGATGGATGGTATGCGGATGTATGTCCGGTAAGCTGCCGACTTCCAACGCCCCAGTTCCTGGATCTGTTGTGAACTGACGCCTTGTAATGCTGCTGTGGTGGCTGCCCCTATGCGAAATGAATGTGACGAGTACAAACTAGGGTTAATGGGCTCCGGGATTGACGCCAAAGCCTTTTTGAGCACCGCCTGAAACTGAAATTTTGTTAGTGGGGAGCTATCAAAATGAGTGAAAAAATACCCCGTACCAGTAGGTCTGATGCAGCGGAAACGCTGCACTGCTGCGACAGGACATAATGGGGAGTTCGGCAATGCCTGGATGGTGATGTATGCTCCCAGACCATCCTGATCTGTTTTGGAGCTCCGCAAATGTACCTGTATGGCTGATAAGTCACCTGCGACAGTTATATCTGAAAACAGGCAAGCTCTGTTAGTGCTGTCCTTTGCTGAGGCTGCTACCAGCTCACCGACTCTGAAAAAACCAAAGAAAGTCAACAAATATGCAGCGGCAAACAGCGCTGCCTCGTAGGACTGGCTGCAGACCAAAGGCAAGGCACGGATGATCTCTGCAAGAAGGTGAGTCGTTATTGGTTGTCGGGTGTCCTGTCGATGAGACAATCTAGACATACCTGAAAGAGCTTTCTGAACAAGGAAGTGGTGTGACACATCGCACATATTATGCAATTTGTGGAGTGCTGCCAGCCCCGATACGTATGACCTGGCTGTGGCAGGCGACCTACCTGACACCGATAAATAAGCAATAAACTGTAGCCATTGGTCCAGCGGTATAGGCCAAAGAGACGGTAAACCAAATGCAGCGCGGAATTGTTCAAACGCTGTTTTGCCCGCCTGATAAGTGCGCCATGTACTTGGTGCCAATGATGAAGTGATGAGACGGTTAACCTCAGACATCAGATGTCCCACATGTCGTCGGGAGTGGGGGTTGGTACCTTGTCCGCATGAGGCGCTGCTGACCTGAATCGTGCCCACTGAAATCTCGAAAGAGAATCTGCTATAATGTTAGCGTGGGTGTCAATATATTTCGCTTTGAACAGAATGTTGTGTCTGAGACATAAAAGCACCAAGCATCTAAGCAGTGACATGACCCGTGGAGGCTTTGCTGTCTGACGGTTTATTATGTGGACCACAGCCTGATTATCACAAAAGAACATTATCCGGCTGTTGGAGAGAACAGAGCCCCACAACTTGATGGCGAGAACGATAGGGAAAAGTTCAAGCATGGTTAAATCCTTCAGCCATCCCTTTTCATGCCACTGTGCTGGCCAGCGACCATTAGTCCAATGGCCCTGAAAGTAAGCACCGAATCCCTGGCTGCTGGCTGCATCTGTAAAGAGTTGTGCCTCCTGCGAGTTTGACCATCGAGGGTGCAAGAATAAAGTGGTGCCATTATGACTAGCAAGAAATTGAAGCCATACTTTTAAGTCTGCCCGGATACCCTGTGTAATTCTGATTCTATGGTGCGGCTGAGAACACCCTTTTTGAGCATCGATGAGGCGCCGAATAAATGGTCGTCCCATGGGTATAGCCTTACAAACAAAGTTGAGTTTACCGACAATTGATTGTAAATTGCGCAATGTCACTTTTTTTTGTTGTGTGCTGTCAATATGTGATTGAGCTGTTGTGTCAGCTGTTCTACCTTATCCTGTGGCAGCCTAATTTCGCCTTTAGCTGTATCGATGGTTAAGCCCAAATATGTTAAGCATGTTGAAGGGTGAACTGTTTTGTCCGGGGCCACTGGAACGCCCAAGTGATTGAATAGCTGCAATGATGATGTGAGTAAATGCTCACAATTTTGGCTGGTTTGGTCAGCCAGGATGAAATCGTCAAGGTAGTGGCTAACATTGTTGCTGCTGGTGTCTTTCCTAATAGCCCATTCCAAAAAGGTACTAAATTTTTCGAAAAGAGCACAAGAAATTGCACAACCAAAAGGGAGGCATTTGTCAATGTAGAATTAGTGTTGAAAGTGCATGCCAAGGAGAAAGAATTGACTAGGTGATACAGGTAGAAGCCGAAAGGCTGATTTTATGTCAAATTTGGCCATGTATGCATTTTTTTCACCTAAGGCTTGTACCATGGCGACTGCCTGGTCGAAGCTGTTATACTGTACTGTGCAGAATTCTTGTGGAATGAAATCATTGACTGACTGGCCTGATGGATAAGATAGGTGATGAATGAGGCGGAAGGCAGCCTCTGTGTTTGATGTGGATTGTGTTTTCTTGGGAACCAGGCCAAGTGGGGAAACTATAAGGGTCTGTAGAGGGGGTGACGAGAATGGTCCAGCAATACGACCTGCTTCTATTTCCTTTGTCAGCTTATGCAAGATGATATGAGGATTAGCGTTAGCAGAAGATAAATTTCTTGCATCCCGTGGACCGGGTGGGCCTGTATATTGTAAACTGAAGCCTTGGTTAAAACCTTCCTGAAGTATAGTACTGTCATTTGAATTAATGTGTTGATAAGAAATTAGCCATGGGGTGAGGTTGCAGACTTTGATTGGTGAGGGTGCTAGTTCAAGATTGGCGTGTGTTGCTGATGGGGTTATTGTTAGCATGCGCTGGAAATGTGCCATGTTTGGGCCTGGAGCCTTTATGCTGAAAGCAGCTACTGGCTCCGTGTCCCCTGCTGTCGCATGACTGGCACTTGTGCACATAGTTGCAGTTCTGCCTTCGGCAACCCTGCTTGTTGAAATCCCAACATACGGGTGCAGCAGTGTAGGCACGATGGTTATGGTTCTGATTATTGCTAGGGGGTCTGTTGGCAGATTGCGGGGGTTGACGCTGGTTGGGGAGCATTAACTCAAGCCACAGCTGGCCGTCAATGGTGCCCCAAGGCCGTGTAGGGTTACGCTCCATGCGTTGTCTGAATTGAATGTCGTACTGTGCCCAACAATCCCCCCCGAAGCGTGCCGCTGCCCCCCGCACTGTCTCCATGTATGCAAGCAAATGCTGCACAGTGTTCGTATCCTGGTGCTTTTCAACATAAATACTTATAAAGGTATTGAAAGCTGACGTCCACTGGCCTATGGTCAGAGGCCGTGAGGGTTGCTGCTTAGGCCTAAATACCACCTGTCCGGAGCTGTCCAGCTCCATAGAAAAATTAACGGCTTCCTGTGACGCGTCTTTTTGGGGTGGCAGCAATTGGCGCAGGTCTACGAATTCCCCCTTATATATTTTGTCCCGTATAGACGCTCTAACATGGGAGCCAAGGTGCTCGGTTTGCACATGGAGCTGCTGGTAGCCGGCGTTGGGGGGAAAGAAACGCTGCTGGAGCGTATCGGGGTAGCCAGTGGGCTGGACAGTTGGCTGTAGATCTAGGTTAGGACTAAGAGAGTGAACACGAGCATGTGCGGGATATGGAGCGCGTGGGGAGGGAGGTGAAACATCAGGGAGTAACACACCCGGCTGAATAAGTATACTATTGGCAGCATTAGTAAGCGACCTACCTGTCTCTGTATCATCCCGGCTGGTCCCTGGAGCTGGCGCTGTGCTGACTGTCAGCGGCACCCTGGGGGTGTTGTCACCTCGCAAATCCCGCGAAGCGCTCAAGCGAGCAGCTTTTGCTCTCCCCGACACGAGACGGTGATTCAGAGCTGATTTGCGCTTTGGAGGCATATCGAATTAGATGAGGGTCGAACTTCTGTAGAGCGGTGAAAAAACGGACTTTTTATGCCGCAGGTAGCCTGAGCATGTGAAGTGCTATTAAAAAGCGTGACGTAATGCCGGCGGATATTACGTGTCTCTAAGCTTAGCTGCACGTGAGGCAAGTTGGTGACGTAAGCGGAAGTGAATCCAAGCGCGGGAATAAGATGGTGGACGAAATCAAAACAATGGAGAGGTTAGAAATTGGAACGAAACGGTAACGCAGCCCATAACACCATTTAGCTAAATATTGCTAAATGTCATTAAAAAGTTTAAGAAAACACACATGAAAATGTCCTGAAGCTTTCACCTCCTTCAAACCAGTGTGCAATTTAATATGAAGCTCATTTTCCAAATAACCATCCACAAACCTTGAACAATTTGTCCAAAACCAACATCTTAATAAACACTACTTTGGCTCAAATGTCTCCAAATAATGGTAACCTCCTCAAAAGCTGATGATTTCTAAGAAGTTTTACATTAAATCTGGGATAAATATATGTTTCAATATTCATTCCAGTTACATGACTAGTCAACTGAAAATTTTGTAAGTAATTCTGTTCCAAGACTGAATAATGCCTGACCAGGGTGTGATCTATTTCTTTTCAAATTTTCTGGATGTTGAAATTTATTTTCATGAGCTTGATACTAGTAATCATTTTCAGAATGATCCTTTCAGTGAATATATTATTTAAAACATCCAAAGATATCTTACAGCAGGAGCCAACAAACTAAGTTAATTAGTAGCAAGTGATTGCCAGGGTACGTATTTAGTGTTTGTTTGCCTAGCTCTGCCTTAAAATCACATGAAACTGATATGTCAGTCAATTAAGTAGTTATTTATAATTAATTATGTTATTATTTATTTTATTACCTTTCCACGTTTACTTAAGGACGCAAGATTCTAAAAACATACCTTGCTATCATTTCCAGTGAATTATAATTAAAATGACAGTTATGTTATTACTCCTAAAATGTACCAGTGCGCCTCCCCTACATGTTAAAAAATTTATGTTGTAACAAAAATCCAAAAGAAATAATGTTCTCATAGTTAAGAAATACACTTTTATTTCACTCCGTCCAATATTCCAGAAAGTCACTATTCTTCTCACATAGTGTTCGTCTCTGATCCACATGGAGTAACTTAATTAAATTCAAGGTCCCATCTCTTTATAAAAATTCTGAAATATTTATGGCATGGTTTTATAGACACTCATTTGAATGAATTTTGTTATTTGGATGTTGCCCGATAGGCAAATGCTGACACTGACTATGTTTCCGTTTGAATAATATAAATATTATTTCTGGAATATTTTGCACTAATAACAGATACTGTACTGTAGGCTTTCAGATTGTGTTTTTGAAACTTTAAAACATCCTATAATGTGTGACAAATTTAAGAATATCTATGGGCGATGGTAACAACATCCACCACATTGTTCTTTAATGCAACAAGTTCTGCTGTTTCGATCGACCGTAACCGAAATCAGATCGCTGTCAGATTTGTTTACATTGTGTCATGGCTTTCTCGCCTGTCTCATTTCAGCTTTATGGTGTACCAACTCTATGCCCAGTATTGACAAAACACGTTAAGCAAAAACAATTTTGTAGTTACAAGAATTGCCCGTGTTTATAACACTTGCAAAGGCTTCAAGTGCTATTTGTTGTCATCTATTGGTAATGATTTTGCACATGTGCGAAAGTGTGTAAGTTCGTGCAAATTCTCACCCTCAAGCAGATGTAGGTTTCGTGAGCGATGGTGCAGGCATTTCATTGATCGTGAGGCATATCGCGCTCCTTGATCCGCTTCAAATCTTTTGTCTCGACCATAATGGTTGTGTTAAAGGTACGCATCAAATCACAGCAATATGTAATAGATATAGCGAGTGTGAATGGCATAATTTGAAGCACATCGTTTCGGAGGCATCGTTTGACCCCGGAAATAAGTCTGACAAATCCACAAAGCGCGCCCGGCCTGCTGATTGGCCAAAATTGACGCATGCGCCAGTTTTGATTGACAGACTGGATCGGTCTATTGTCATCTCCTTACTGTTTTAATCTATACTAGGCACATAAAGAAACTGTGCATACAAAAAATTAAAATCTAAATTTATCAAACCTGTGGAGACACATAAGGATTTAAACTCAGAGATTATTGACATGTATCCAACATGACATAAATCCTTAACCGGCCGTTAGGTAACCGAACGTTAAATATGCGTTGTTCAAAACATGGTTAGTCGTGCCGTTAGCTAACGTCGCCGTCAAAGTTTACAGTGTGGTTAACGTCACTAGTTAGCTTCCGTATATCCCATAATTCCGTTTTCTGTTTACTTCCGGTTTACCAAAAATGGAAACGCAAAATGGCGCCTGCACCCCAAGGAAAAAGAGAAGTCGAAATTTCTCTGCTGACGAAGAGAATGTAACCCAGTCAATGGTTGAGGCCAACTCTATAGTTTATCATAGGCATGCGAATGTCGTACCGCTACGAACATTTTGTATTGGAACACAAGGTTCCAGCCGTTTGCATAATTTATATTTCAAAGACATATGATCCCAGCTCTGTGTTGGACTTACTGCAATTCCAACAACAGAAAAGACATTTTAATGACAAACTATAGCACAGCTATAGATAAAATATGATGAATCCATGAAAAAAATATTAATATTAGAAGCATGTTGTCCGTGGATAGAAAATGTATAAATATTACACACAGAGTTACGCTTAGACGGCTACAGTCTTAATGAATCTTTGAATTCCCACAAGACCTATCGCTCATTTTTCACTCCTTAAATCGTCATTACTGTATGGACAAGTCGTGAAGATGCCATCAATATCATTTATTAATTATTTGCCAAGTCTGTCAAAAATTGTAATGTATGAACACACATTGCCAAATCTTTTAACAGCAAACAATATATACTCTCCCCCAAAACACGTCATGAAAATAGCAATTTCATGTAGCAATGAATTAAAACGTGATTCATTTTACAAAAGGTTTTGCTCTGTTTATGAGTCCTATGGTGTTAATGTTTTGAAACACCACAACAAAACGCACCATCGGTAAAATACCCGTATTTAACAGCATGATTTTCAATTTCGGCGTGTAGTGTCACAGAATACACAATTCACATGCGATGCACGTGAAAGTTGGGGATCAGAGAGTCTCAATGATGGGTATAAAAGGTTGATCGCTGTCTGTCGATTATTCACTGTATTTGGAATATTGTTGACGAACGCAAAATGCCACGTCTAAGTGAAGCCAACCGTCATATCGCCATTGGTTAGCCTGAAGCTGGCCAGTCTGAACGTGCAGTTGCCCGACGCATGAATGTTCACCAAAGCACCATTTCACGGCTCTGGGAGAGATTTCGCCGGCAGAGTTCGGTAGCAGATGCCCCTCGTAGTGGGCGACCTCGAGCGACCACTGCGGCGCAGGATCGCTACAACCGGGTAAATCACCTGCGTCATCGAACAGCTACGGCGACCAGTACCGCTCGACAAATACCCGGATTGAGGAGGCTTTCTGCACAGACCGTCAGGAACAGGTTGAGAGAGGTTGGTTACGTGCCAGAAGACCTTATTTTGGCCCTGTGCTTCGACAACAACATCGTTGACATCGAGTTCAACGGTTCATTAACGTTCAGGCCTGGAACCTACCGAATTGGCGTAGAATCTGGTTCAGTGATGAATCACGATTTCTATTGGAACGACGCAATGGAAGAATGCGGGTGTACAGACGTCGACGTGAACGTTTCGCCGACGCTTGCGTTCCCCAGGTGGGCAGATTCGGCTGGGGAAGTGTTATGGTGTGGGGAGCAATTACCTGCCGTAGGAGAATTGATTTGGTGATGATCCAGGGCAACCTGACAGCTCAACGGTACTGTGACAAAATCCTACGCCCACACCTCCTTCCAATCATTGATCGCCAGAGGGAGTTGTTTCAACAGGACAATGCCAGGCCCCACACAGCACGTCACACTAGAGACTTTCTCCAGAAGCACAACATCAATGTGCTCCCCTGGCCCTCAAGATGTTGTGAAATTAATACCATTAGCTTTTATCTGAAATATGCATTTAATGTCAATAGAAACTTAATATGTTACTAGCACCACGTGCAAGTAATCAAACTGTAATTGTACTATAGGCCCCAGGGCCAACACTGCTGAATATAATCGATCTATTATCCGACCTCACTGTTGACAGGAATCTCATGAATAATACTGTGCAATATCGTCATTATCTGAACGCCTTCACAGACGCATATTCCGGAAAGATGTCTTGAAAAACATGAAGCTGCGTCTAATTTATAGATGAACATAATTTCCTCGATACTCATTAATCAGATGAACCTTCATTTAGTTCAATTCACAAGTGACTGAAGAAAATGCATAATTCTTTTGAATGACTTCACGGTCGGAAAACATGTATTATATTTAATAAGGGTATTATAGAACGCTGCAACGATTCGGCAGGGAAATACTATTGTGCCATTGTATTCCTTCTATGAACCTATCAGTGTATAACATTAGCATTCAGATATTGTTATAAAATAAGTTAAAAATTCCAATATACTCTCCCAAAAAAGAAACGCATATAGGAATTTCAACTGTATTTTTATGTTTATTTTGAAACATCTTGTAGGCTTGATGAGTCAATGAAATACAGCGAAATTGCACACTGGGAATGCAGACTTATCCGTCTTTGGCACCAACTCGAGGAAAGTCAGTTTGAGTGTCACATGGAGACGTGTGGTGGCGCTGAAGTCAATACCTCGTGTGATCACCGTGGGCATCCAGAACTGCACGGCATCGCCTCGGCATCGAACGAATAAGTCTCAGAATATCGTTTTGCCCAATCGCAGCCCACTCTGCCTGTAGTGCCTGTGCGAGTTGCTGAAGTGTCTGGGGCTGAGGGTTACGGCGTCGCACCCGTCTGTCGAGGGCATCCCACAGATGTTCGATCGGGTTTAAGTCCGGTGATCTTGAGGGCCAGGGGAGCACATTGA